ATAGATTCTATTTACACCTAGCAGGATTTTCTGCTATTTATACTACTTATTGCAGATAGTGGCAATTATCTGCACCTCAGTATTGTAGTACATTATAAAACAGTATGCAATAATAACGATAACAACGATGTGATATCTGATTTGAAAAAGTAGGAAAAAAAAGTTTGGCAAAACACTATTCGAACCCCAGTCGATCGCGTCCAAAAACGACTTCAACACATACTTTACCGTCTGCGCCACTGGAGCTGTTATTAGACGATAGTCTTTTGTAATGCTTTGTAATCTCACGTTGATAGGCGGAGTTAGTGTAAATAGCCTCTGCCAACAAGGCGGGCTGTTTGCACTTGTAAATAGACACTCTGTTTTTTATTTGTGAACATGTTCAGCTGTTCCTTTTAATAGTCAACTTATTTTCGGGTCATCGTCATAAAAGCCCTGTAAATTTTGTCACAGGCACGAAGATACATCTTTCATTTCATCAAGCTGAATTCTCACTAAAAACTGACAGTCATCACGTTTTCAAGTCATTTCATGTTTCATTTTGATGTGACACAAAGCAGTGATATCTAAGCAGGAGAGTTGTTTACTTTATAATTAGTCAATTATCATTTTCTTCATTCAGGCCGAGAGCTCGCACGAAAACAAGAGGCGGGATTTTTCACACGAACCAATCACATCCAATCATAACCAATTATAGTGCGACGGAGGCATTGCCTCCTCTCACGTGACTTTCCCCCATTCAACTCAATGAGCCTCCAGAAAAGTCGCACGCTTTAGGGTCTCTGTAGAAAGTCTATGGACACCTGCGGGTGTCGCTGTTGGACAGTGTTACTTCAAAAGTCTAAAAGTCACTCGTTTTTATAATGTCATATTATAAAATATAATATCGATTATTTTCTCATCCACTTTTGAGGAGAGGAGACCTTGCCTCCTCGGAGAAAACGCCCCTTATATACACTGAACAAAATTATAAACGCAACACTTTTGTTTTTGCCCCCATTTTTCATGAGCTGAACTCAAAGATCTAAGACTTTTTCTATGTACACAAAAGGCCTATTTCTCTCAAATATTGTTCACAAATCTGTCTAAATCTGTGTTAGTGAGCACTTCTCCTTTGCCAAGATAATCCATCCACCTCACAGGTGAGGCATATCAAGATGCTGATTAGACAGCATGATTATTGCACAGGTGTGCCTGAGGCTGGCCACAATAAAAGGCCACTCTAAAATGTGCAGTTTTACTGTATTGGGGGGGTCCGGACCCCCCCAGTACAGTAAAACTGCACATTTTAGAGTGGCCTTTTATTGTGGCCAGCCTAAGGCACACCTGTGCAATAATCATGTTGTCTAATCAGCATCTTGATATGCCTCACCTGTGAGGTGGATGGATTATCTTGGCAAAGGAGAAGTGCTCACTAACACAGATTTAGACAGATTTGTGAACAATATTTGAGAGAAATAGGCCTTTTGTTTACATAGAAAAAGTCTTAGATCTTTGAGTTCAGCTCATGAAAAATGGGGGCAAAAACAAAAGTGTTGCGTTTATAATTTTGTTCAGTGTATATATATACATTGTCGCTTGAAAGTTTATGAACCCTTTAGAATTTTCTATATTTCTGCATAAATATGTCACAAAACATTATCAAAATTTCACACAGGTCCTGAAAGTAGACAAAGAGAACTCAAACAAACAAGTGAGACAAAAATGTTCTTTGTTGTTTATTTAGGAAAATGACACCAATGTTACATATCTGTGAGTGGCAAAAGTATGTGAATCTCTAGGATTGGCAGTTAATTTGAAGGTGAAATTAGAGTCTTTCAGAGTTTGTTTTCAATCAGTGAAATTACTATCAGGTGTCAGTGCGTGCCCTGTTTTATTTAAAGAACGGGGATCAAAGTCTGATCATGTTTGTGGAAGTGTTTCAAGGCATGAACAACGGAGATCTCTCGAGGACCTCAGAAAAAGAGTTGCTGTTGCTCATCAAGCTAGAAAAGGTTACAAAACATCTCTAAAGAGTTTTGACTCCACAAATCCACAGTCAGACAGATTGTGTACAAATGAGGAAATTCAAGACCACTGTTACCCTCCCCAGGAGTGATTGACCAACAAAGATCACTCCGAAAGCAAGACGTGCAATAGTCTGCAAGGTTGCAAAGGAACCCAGGGTAACTTCTAAGTAAGTAAAGGCCTTTCTCACATTGGCTAATGTTAATGTTCATGAGTCCACCATCAGGAGAACACTGAACAACCACGGTGTGCATGGTGCATCCAAAAAGAACATTGCTGCCCATCTGCAGTTTGCTAAAGATCATGTGGACAAGCCAGAGGGCTACTGGAGAAATGTTTTGTGAACAGATTATGCCAAAATAGAACTTTTTGGTTTAAATGAGAAGTGTTATGTTTGAAAAAAAGAACACACTGCATTCCAGCATAAGAACCTTATACCATCTGTGAAACATGGTGGTTGTATCATGGTTTGGGCCTGTTTTGCTGCACCTGGACCAGGACAGCTTGCCATCATTGATGGAACAATGAAGTATAATTATATCAGGACATCTGTCAGTGAACTAATTCTCAAGAGAAAGTGGGTCATGCAGCAAGACAACGACCCCAAGCACACAAGTTGTTCTACTAAAGAATGGTTAAAGAAGAACAAAGCGAATGTTTCGTAATGGTCAAGTCAAAGCCCAGACCTTAATCCAATTGAAATTTTGTGGAAGGAGCTGAAGCAAGCAGTTCATAGGAGGAAACCCACCAACATCACAGAGTTGAAGCGGTTCTGTACTGAGGAATGGTCTAAAACTCCTTCAAGATGTTGTGCAGCACTGATCAGCAGTTACAAAAAACATTACCTGCAGTTATTGGTGCAAAAGGGGGTCAGACCAGATACTGAAAGCAAAGATTCACATACTTTTGCCACTCACAGATATGTGACACTGGATAATTTTTCTTAAATAAATGGCAAAGAAAATATTTTTGTCTCATTTGTTTGTTTGGGTTCTCTTTGTCTACTTTCAGGACTTGTGTGAAATTTTGATTATGTTTTGAGTGATATTTATGCAGAAATATAGAAAATTCTAAAGGGTTCACAAACTTTCAAGCAGCACTGTATATATACATATTTGGCAGCTGTTACAGAAACATTTTTACAATAAATATTCTGATTTGACCTTAAGATTAAATAGCTTCGATATTTGACCACTATTTATGATAATACTTGGTTACAAAGACGAATAGTTCTTATTTCTGCCAGGAATGCAAAATCAATCGGGAGTTAATGATATTTTGAATAGAATAACGAGACATAAACCTGTACATATTCAATCGCGTTTGCATCCATTTAATTTTGATCAGTGCTTCGCTACACAACACACAAACTTTTACTTCAAAAGTGCGCACATTATGTATTCACACGTTTACTTCACATTTCTTTAATCGGAATATAGAACCATATTTACTCAGTGACTCGCAGAAAGACGATTCTCTTCCGATCCAGTCAATATTGCGTGATCATAATTCCCAAATTATGGTGACGGTAAACTTCTACATTCTGTCTCCTAATGCATTTATTCGTCAGTCTATTGTATACAATATCTGCATTAGGTCCCAGTAGAGTGAGTTTTGAGCAAAAACATTATGTATTAATCTCATACTGTCACTCTGAAATGGACAAATGGCTTGCGCTGAATTTTTGAAAAGCCCTGCTTGGATTGAGGCCCGTGAAGCAGGATCACGAAACCCAGACGATCTCTATTAAGCGGGAGCGTTGACAGTTAAAGTCCATTTCTGGTTTTATTGTTGTTTCTATCTATCTATCTATCTATCACTCTCTCTCTCTCTCTCTCTCAGGGTTTCTGCAGGATTTTTAAGCTCAAATTTAAGACCTTTTTAAGACCTGCACAAATAAAATTAATACCATATGAGCGGGGTAGGGCAATGTCAATAGTACAATATTAAACTGTAAAATTACTGTAAAAAGCATAATTTACAGTTCAGATACAAGTTTTCACAAAAACAAAACGTGTTATAAAATGATCAACTTTACATTTCAGCCTTTAAACCATTTTTAAGAAAATGGAGTCAAAAGTATTAATTATTATATTAATTTAAACAATTATGATAACAATTATTATATTAATTAAATAACATAAAATAGGGGTGTGCGATATTGACAAAAAATTATCTCTAATTTTCTGGGATTTTATCGATAACGATAATTAGACAATATTTTGCTATAGAGTGTGTTATTGTTCTGATATCTTATCTCTAATTGTGCTGACAGCTGACTCCTGAATTTTTTGATATTCTTCATATTCTGTGTGG